ACCACAGGCTCTTGCTCATGTGTGGATTAAAACCTTTTTATTACTGCTCTCTGAGGATGTGTTCTCTGGGGTCCAATCCTTTGTAGTTAAGATTTGTTTTATGGTACACAGAAAGACAGAATTGTATCTTTTGATGAATTCCATGTTTTATCATTATATAGTGACATTCTTTGTCACTATATAAATGGTTTTTGCTGTAAAAGTTATTTCATTTTATATTTAGTTTCATTTTCCCCTACTACTGCCCTAAGAGATGAATACCCTTTCCTCCCTGCACATTTTAATTTTTTTATGAATTTATGTTTAAATGTGTTACATCAATAGCACCTATGGAGTTTATTTTTCAGTATGACTTCTCTAGCCCTTTTCTGATGTTCCTATGCAGATGGGCGGTGCTAAATGAATGGGGTGTGTTGGTATATCCTCAAAGGGACTGGCTAGCTACCATTCCACAAGGGGATTGGCCAATCTCAACAATCTACAAGACGACTAGCTAGTTTCAAACAGTTCTAGCTGCAGAGAATATGAATCTTACCCCACTAGAACAGAGAATTCTTCCCCTACTGGTGAAATGTAGCACATGCTTTGGGATGGCAGTAGCAGCAGCAATGGCTGAACTGGAGAACTGAAGTGAGATGGAACTTTGGGAGTAGAGAGGGCGCCAACATCAGCAGCACTGAGAACTAGAGCGACAAGGATAAAGGCTGAAGTGTCTGTGTGCACATTTTGGGTGCTGTCTTGACTAAATTCTGTTATGAGTCTGAATTACAACCTTTTGACTCCCCCAAGTATGGCTCTGTGAGCTATCACATCGGATTTTGGACTGAGCAAAGCAGTAAGATTGGTGCTGAGATGAGTAGAAAGATGCATGGGAGTGTGGGGACATGTCTAACCTCACGTGAATTAGTTTTGTGTTACTGATGCTGTGGATGGATTCCTGTGAAGCTGGTACAGGTCAGATATGGCACTCCTCATGTGGCCTTTGCTCTTTTTTCAGCACTTCTAATTGTTTTATAATTGGTAATGTGTGTTGTATGGAGACTAACTGCAATGAATTTACTTTTGTCCCCTTTTTTTTTTTTGCTATTTATTCTCTCTTCTATGCTTCACCTGGTTTTAAAGAAAAACTCACCTTCTTCCTTTTATTGGTAGAGAAGTTAAACATTTTCATTATTAATTTTTTAAAGTGGTTATCCAACATAGTTTCTTATATAAAATTTTTAGAAACCAGATAGGTACAGGACTCAGAGGTTCAGCTGGAATCTCAGCTCTGCCATTAATTAGTCATGTGATCTTGAAAAGAGATTTCCTCAATTGTAAAATCAGGTTATTCCAATACTTATATGGGATACTCTATCTAAAGAAGCTATAGAACATGTTTTGTAGCTTCCTGACTACAAAATGGTAGCTTTCTGAACACAAACAATCAAATGTGGACGCAACATTTAGTTTTAATAGAGATTGAAAACAAAACTGAAAAATCGAAAGGTCAGGTGAGGGGAGTTTCAATGAGGATGGAAACCTTTCAGAATCAAGGACAATGTTTGAAATCTTAAGAACAATCTTTTACTCTAACATCAACTTGGTTATCATCATAATAAACTTACCCTTTATGATATATGCACAGACAGGGCAGTCGTGCTATCGTATCTCCCTGCTGCAGCTCTTCCAGGCATATTGCACATTCCCCAGCATCTTTACTCAGTACATCCTCTGAGGAAAGAGAAAATAAGTTCAGGACCATAAAATGACTTATTAAACTGAGGGAGGGGAGAAAATCAGGATTCTATCTTAGTTGGTGTATTTTCTCATAAATACATAAAGCAGCTCAGAACTGGCAGGAGCTCTCATTTCCATTTATACTCTATTGGCCATTACAGCAAGCAACAGAATTGAATCCTCTAACTTCCATGTTCTTTTTCTCTAAAATATTAAGTCAGTATTTGGAATTTGTTTCCCTATTTTCAAGGGTTCAATATTAATCTGGTGCCTGAGGCAATTGAAAAAGATTACTTAGGTTTGAGACATTAGAAGTAGTTAATTCTTCATAATCCTTTTCCATGGTAATGTCAAGCCTACTCCAGGCAGCAATCAGAGTATCTTCCAGAAGGCACGGCAGGATATTGAAAAACTCTGTGGCATATCTATAATACTTCTGGGTAAATTCCTTCAGAAATAAAAAGTTCCTTGCTAAGTAAATTTACACTGAAGTTTTTATTTTAGTTATATTTTATTAATTTTCATTTTTAAAAGAATTTTGCTTCAAGTGAGATATATGCTTTATGACTATTTAAATCCCAAATTAAAACATGCCATTATGGAACAATATAGGTACACTACTCAAGAATATACATTCTCTGCAAATTTTGAGAACAGAAAGCTAAAGTAGAAACTGGAAATATTAATCCATTCTACAAATAAATTAGTGCCTTTGGAAGTACAAATACAGAGAAAGACTATACCAATCTTCTTGCCATGAGGCCACCAGAGCTCCTAAAGATAAGACAGTTTTTAAAAACCAAGTGTCTGATCACCCTTCATGTCCTCAATATATACATATTTCTAACAATCCCAGGTAGAAAAATTGCATTCTGTATAAGTGATTCCTCCTTTATATTAATTTTAAGACAGTACATTAAAAAGAAACAAGAGACCTTCCCTAGGATTTAGTGTAAAATAAGGAAATCAGTGGGTAAATTAGTTACAAGGCTAAGAGAAGGTCCAGTGTACCTTCTGCAGAATAACTGAGAGGCTTCCATAACAAGGGTTTTATCATTCTGTGGAAATCAAAATATTTAAGAGGAGTAATTGTGGCTAACTATATTGAGAAGCAGCATACAGACTAGTATCTTGGAGATTTAAGCAGAAAATGAATTTCTGAAAAAGTAAGAAAGATGGGTAAACTGAAAATACTTCTAACCCCAATTTCCTTCCTCTCACTTTCCTTGACTCTGGGGGTCTCATTCTTTACTTCTTTTTTCCTTCTGATTTGGATTTCTCTTTTACTGCATTTGTGCCCCTCCAAAAATATGGTCAATTTGGCTAGGTCATGATTGTACATAATTCTTTTACCTGTTTTAAATTCTAATCTCTATGATGTTAATGAGGTGGGATTATAACTAATTATGCAATCATCCCTCATGATTTGATCTGATGTAATCAGCCAATCAACTCCAAGTAGATTAGCGTGTGATACAACATGCTTAGTCAGGTCAGAGCTCTGAATCCATGTAAGTAAAATTTCCCTGGAGTTATGACCTATATCACCTGATGTCTTACAAGAAATACAGGGAGAGAAAAGCAAGCAGTGAAGAGAGGACTTCAGTACCATCAAGGAAGAAGAGCTGAGAGTAGAGTGTGTCCTTTGAACTGACGTTCTTGCATGAGCAATCTTCTAGAACATGGAGACAAAGAAAGTCCTCCTAGACAAGGCACCCTGAATTTGGATTTCTAATCTACCAAACTGTGAGAGAATAAATTTGTGTTGGGGGAAGCCATTCACTTGTGGTATCTATTTATGGACTATGCCACCAGAACTCCTTCATTACAAAGATATAACACAAGATAGAGAATTATGTGAATATTTAAAATAAACACCAAAAAGTTGACTACAACACTTTATCAAATAACAGCTATCACAAATATATTATAAAGTATATTTTATATACTATCAAGCTGGCCTCTTTTTGTTTCTCTTTTGGTTTGTTTAGAGTAACTATGATACAATACTGATTTCAAGACATATCTCCTTCTCAGAGGTGTTTAAATGTTGGGAGAAAAGTATGTCTCAAAATTGATGCTCCAGAATGTCACATTTTCTATCTTTTCTTCTAGATTTAAGTTTATATGAATTGTCATTCTAGTTATCACAAACTAAGAAAAGGAAAGAAGGCAGCTTTTAAAAAAATAAAAATAAGCCTCCATTATAAATATATATATAAAAGATTCTGAACACCAAATGGAAATAAGTAGGTACAGTGTATTAGTGATAGTAAAAAGAAATCCTGTAATGTTTCATGCTGACGTTTGACTACCAGGGCTTAAAAAACTTTGAGATGAGAATTATTTCACTATTTCAACCTTATTAATAGTAAACTTATTATTAAGTAATATAATTTGTAATATTATTTTTAAATTGATAGGGATAAGGATTTTTCTTTTAGATGTTGCACAGGTACTAAGTTAATAATAATAACACCACTGAAATAAACCAGAAGAAAAGTTGTTTTATTATTTCCTTTAGAATGCTGTATTATTAAAACCAATGAACTCCCTAAACACTAAAAAGAAATTATGAGAATTATATTTTCTGTATCACTAAAGGTACACATATATGCAAGTATATCTGAAACACACTAGTTTCAATCAAAAGGTAAACTTACTGTCAACAGTTTGTAAAGAAATCATCACTACTCAGCAGTCTAAAAGCTAATGCTAACACAATGAAAGCTGTAGTCACTGCTCAAGTTCATTGTTAACTCATATGACTTAGAAGATAGTTTATTCAGTCCTGTTTTACAACAGTGGCACTATGCCGTATTTGTCCTTTTTAACTGAGATATTTCACTCAGCATAACGTCCTCCAAGGTCACCCATTTAGAATAATATTGCATGAGTTCCCTGTTTTTCAATGCAGTGTAGTATTCCATTGTGTGAATATACCACAGCTTCTCTATCCATATATTTGTTGACAGGCACTTAGGTTGTTTCCAAAGAAGACAGTTTATTCTATATAAGACTCCAAAATTCCTACCCCAAGCAGCAAATGCTCACCTTTCTCATTTTGAAGTCATATTTCCAACAGAATTTGTCTTTGCAGATTTGAAAACATTTTCCGTTCTGAAAATTTCACTGTTCAATTTGATAAATGTTGCTTGGGGAAGGGAGGTGTGAGAGTAGCCCCTCCTCTAATCCCTAACACAGTGTTAGGTCTTTCACTAAAAGAACATTTCTGGGCTTTTGCCTGCTTAGAAGACACTAGGTTCTACAGTCATAAAAAGGCTATTCCTAACATGAGACACACAGTGCTAAAAAAGACCTGCAACACCACTTAATCCATGGCACAGCATCATCTTCAAGGCAGTTGGGAAAATATCAGTAAAAATCTTTAACAGTTAAAAACCTTTAGGAAGATTTTACCCACATATATTAAGAAGTCAATATATCTGAACTTGAATACACTTTAGGGAAACTATTAACTAGGCAAAACTGCTATCAGAGAAGTAGGGATGGAAAGGAACACATTTAACTACTACACCACAGCTGGTTAGCTGGTTAGGGGCATTCGCCCTCCCCCAAGCACTGATAATGGAATCTCAGGAGTATCACAACCAGGACAGGGCTGTTCTGCCATTACAAAAGTAATGGTGATCATGTGGAGCAGGAAAAGTTAGACCCACGTATTGTTTATCAATAATCTAACTCCAAGATTCATTCATATTGACATTAGTTCAGATGTACTAAGTAGATGACAAAATGAAGAACTAAATGTCTGGGACTGGAAGAAACTAGGGATTTTAAAATCAGAGGTGAGCATTACAATCAAGGTCTCAACAAAGAAAAGGCAATTACAAATACAAAGGGGTTCCCACCCCCAAGAGACTCTGGAAACAGAGTTGCCTTAGAAACACAACTGCTACTAAGGAAAAAAGAAAGTTAAAGCAGAAAGAGCACTGAGATTAAAAGTGACAATTACAAATTTTCATTTTTACTATTTGTGTAACCTCAAAAATATTATTCAATCTTTGAATTTACTCTAATTTAAGAGTAATATAACAAAGATACTCACAAGATTACAGATGTCAAGTCATATTTTAAAACTTTCTATTAATTATTAATAATGGCACAAGATGCTAGTTTTTATTATAGTCATTACATAAGTACTTTATACATCTTTCAAAAAAAAATCCAAAGTTTGTGTTTGTCTCTATTACAGTTGTTTCACCTTAACACAAAGTCATCAAAGAACCCTACGGCCACCAAGATGTCAACAAACTATTCATGAAAAAGCCATTTCTACAAAACTGTTACAACTGCCAGGCTGGAGCTATTTCATAAACACAACACTGCCTCACTAGCTTTACACATGTAGCTTTATTTTGTTATTAAAAGTATTTAAAATGTTTTCTTTCTTAGGTGCTTTCAGACATAAATTTTGTATGACTTAAATCTTACATTAGTCTTGTGTAGTAACCTACATTTTATAGGGAGGAAAACAAAGGCTCAAAGACCTTTTTAAGTAATTTACCCTAAGACACAAAACAATTAAGTCCTATTGTTAGAATTTAAATTTAGCCTACCTAAGGCCTTAACCCTTCTACTAATTTGGGAATTTTGCTTAACACAAAAACTTCACTTTAAAAGGGCATAAATATTGAAGCAATTGCTTTTGACAAGATTACAGTGTGAAACGCTCAGGATGACTATTTAGAGGAAATATTCTCAACATTGGTCATGTGATTTCTCCTCTGGCGTAAAAAATGAACTTAAACTGTTTACAGTGCCCTGTCCAAGTAACTTTCTGTAATGAGACAAAGGGTTTTACTCTGAGCTGCCTAAAACGGTACTAGTCACATACTGTAACTGAAACTTAAAATGTGGCTAGTGCAACATAAGAACTGAATTTTAAATTTTAACATAGTAAATAAAACTTTAAGATGACTAGTAGTTAATGAACAGATTTATAAACTACAAACTTCTGTAATTAATATTAC